AAAGGTGTGCAACATCATTAGCCATTAGGGAAATGCAAATCAAAACCACAAGATACCACTTCACACATACTAGCATGACTATAATCAAAAAGGCAGGCAATAACAGGTATTGGCAGGGATGTGGAGAAATTGGAATTATTCTACACTGATGGTGGGAATGTAAAATAGTGAGGCTTTTATTACACATTTTGGCTTTTATTACACATCGAGTTATGATATGACCCAGAAATTCCACTCCTAGGTGTATATCCAAGAGAGATGAAAACACATGTCCACACAAAAACTTGCAAAAAATGTTCAGGGAAGCATTATTAATCACCAAAATTCAGAAGCAATTCATCAACTGATAGATAAATAAAATGTGGTATATTCATACAATGGAATATTATTCTACAATGAAAATATTGACACATGCTTACAACATGGATGAACCTTAAAAACATTATCCTAAGTGAAAGTAGCAAATCATAAAAGACCACATACTGTATGATTCTATTTTCAGGAAATTCCCAGAATAGGCAAACAAAAATTAGATTGCAGTTATGCACCACAGAATGATGGTCCGGCCAACGACAAACTGCACATACGATGGTGGTCCCATGAGATTATTATACCATATTTTTACTGTACCTTTTCTATGCTTAGATATATTTCATTGCACAAAGACTTACCATTGTGTTACAACTGCCTGCAGTATTCAGTACAGTAACATGCTTTACAGTTTCATAGCCTAGAAGCAATAGGCTATACCATACTGCCTTAGGTGTTTAGTAGATTATATACCATCTAGGTTTGTTGAAGTGCACTCTGTGATGTTTCACAGTGACAAAATTGCATAACAATGCATTTCTGAGAACATATCCCTTTTATTTGAGTGATGTGTGACTGTAGTACCAGGGGCTGGTGTTGGAAGGAAATGGGAAGTTACTATTAATGGGTAAAGGGTTTCTTTTTGGGATAATGAAAATGTTTTAAAATTGATTCTGGTGATGGTTGCACATTCATTTTACATCCTAAAAATCATTGCATTTTACACCTTAAGTGGCTAAATTGTATATTATGTGAATTATATCTCCATAAATATAATATCAATATAAGGCTTGTTATAAATTTATGACATTGATTTAATTATGTGGCTTCTGTTACTGATAGCTAACAATATTCTATATTTATTGTCATACTGCACTGAGCAACTTACACAATTTATATATTTTATCTCCTTTAACTCTTGAAACATTCTTATTTGGTGAGCAAATTTATTGATCCCCATTTCAGAGATTAGAAAATTGGTGCAGAGAGATAAAGCAATTTCCCGCAAGTTGCACAGCAATACATGTTAGGGCCAGGATTTAAAATACAGGCCTATCTGAAGCTAAAATTCACTTTCTCCTTCTTGTTTCGTTTGTAAAAATTTTATTAATTTAAATAGTTAATACATTCATATATTTCAAAAAACAAAGTGACATAAGAGGCATACACCCTTTCTCCATCCACCATCTCCCCTGTCTCACAGGCACAGCTTGCATTAGCTTCTTGTGCATCATTCAGCATTTCCTTAAAACAAAGCACATATGGGTATACATTTTTATTTCTCCCTCTTTGGCAAATGTAGAATACTATACACATTGTTCTGCACCTTGCTTTTTCACTTCTCATGGCATCTGTATCTTTTTATATTGATATTATTCATTCTTGTGTTTATAGCTTCAGAGTACTCCAGTGCCCAGATATACCACAATTTAATTAGCTGGTCCCCTAAAGATGGACATAAGTTCTTCTTAAGAACTTACATTTTTAAACTGTCTCCAAAGGAAAGAAGGAAACTCTTTAAAAATTCAATATTTTTTGAAATAAATTCCTTTCCTAAAAATTGGACTACTTTGAGGATGATAACCTCTTTTTTAAATATGTTAGTTGCTAAGTATTTATAAACCATCAATGCAATAGACTGAATGTTTACACCCCCACACACACACACCAAATTCATTTATTAAAATTCTAGCCACCAAGATGATTTTAGGAGGCTGTGTGAGGAAGTGGGCCCTCGCCAGACACTGAACTGTTGGTGCGTTCATCTTGGACTTTCCAGCCTCCAGAATTGTGAGAAAAATTGTTGTTTATAAGCTACCCAGTTTGTGATAGTTTGTTATAGCAGCCCCAAAGGACTAGACAACCAACAAAATAAATAAATGCATTACAAGAGAGTCACAGCCACATGTGGGCTATGGAAGAATATTATAACTCTATAGATGAAGTATGATTCATACTCTTCAAAAGGGAGGCCCAGGAATTTCCAAAAACTAAGTAACATCCTGAAATCTATGCATATGTATGTATATATTTAGAGACAGAATCTCATTCTGTCATCCAAGCTGGAGTGCAATGACATGATCATTGTTCACTATAACCTTGAACTCCTAGGCTCAAGTGATATTTCTGCCTTGGCCTCCTAAGTAGCTGGGACTACAGGCATATACCACCTTGCCTGGCTAATTTCTAATGTTTTTTTTTTTTCTTTTTGTAAAGATGGAGTCTATATTGCCCAGGCTGGTCTTGAACTCCTGGTCTCAAGTGATCCTCCTACCTTAGCCTCCCATACTTCTAGGATTATAGGCATAAGCCACCATACTCAGATAATATTCAATATTGAATCACTATCACCCAAATGGTAAATTTCCATATGATATATATGTGAAACTAATCAATTCGCTTGAGTGAAATGGAATGCCAATTCCTATTATAGAAAACCTAGACATAAAATATTTTAAGGCTATTCCAATTGTCTTCAGAATTTCTATTAGTAAAAAAAAAAACACCAACTTATCAATTTTGTAATTTTGTTTCTTTAAAGAAACTATCACTTCAATAAAGCTATGGATTTTCTAAAGGATGCCTGACATAAAATGAGTTTGATCATTAACATGTAAATAATAAACAAGCAATAAAAAAGGTAATTTAAGTGCAGACAAAATATCCAAGAGCTCAAGAACAGTGATCTCTTCTAAAGGGAATCCAATGAAGGAATTCAAAATGCACAGTGTTTCAAAGCTAAAGAAAGTGACGGCTGAACTGAGCCTTACCTTCCGAGAACACAAACATATATTTAGCTTAATAGACTTGAGTACTATCTCAGGAAAAATCCTACATATTATGCATCTAGGGCAATGAAAGCTGTAGAAAATGATTTAGCAGAGCAAACACATTGCAGGCTGACACTAGTGGAGGAAAAGTGTCAAAGGCACGCGTGATGAGTTTAGGTGTCATTATACCATCACGGTAGGAAACAAAAGCACTGAGAAAACCTCAGACACTAAATAGAACCTGGGCAAACCTACGGTAGTTGGTGAAGCTTAAACAAATGTGCATAGCTATATTTTCTGATTATAACTGTAATATAAGTTTATATAGAAGAAAGAAAACAAAATCATCCACAATCCTGCCACCCAGAGAAAACTATTACTAAAATATTGGCATATCCACTTGCAGTCCTTTTTCTATGTGTATATATAAGAAAATATGGTTTTTATAAAATTGGGCTCATATTATAAATACAATTTTATACATGTTTTTCCCCTACTTTGTATTACCTCTTGAGCACTTTCCCATGTTCTCATATATTCTTTGAAGATGTAATTTTGATAACTGCATTATATTGCACCTTATGAGTCTAGGCAGAATTATTGGACTCCTTCCATATTGCTAGACCTCTAGGTTGTTTCTAAAATTACCATTTTATAAATAGCCCTGTGATGGATTTTCAGAATCTTCATATCCCTATTTACATCTTAAAAGAAATTTAAAAGTATATCAGTGTGTCACATTCAAACTTAAATCACTCAGTGTACCAGTACCTATAAATTCACCATTGGAAGTCTCTGGGGACAAACCTCAAATAATGTGTATAAAATTAACAATACTATTTTCGTTTCACTTGCAGTCTATATTTATCCTTCTAGAGCAGCCATCTTTCAGTCAGCACGTTACTTCCTCTAGGCAAATGGACTATTACTGGGTTAATCTAAATGCAATAACATAAAACTTGGCTGACCTAGATTTTCCCAGTTATCGGTATGCATGCAATTACAATATTCTGCAGATTGAAAAATACCCAAGGCTCTCAAAACACGTATTTTAGCATCCTTCCATTTAAAATGATACACAATGGTCACTAAAATAAAATAAAGGTTATAGTCAGTGGAGGTTGATAGCAACCAAATCTTATGTAGACACATAAGTTACATACAGTGTAACTTAAGGTTTTCTTTACCTTCTAGCTTTATTCTGTCACTTCCATAGTTACAAAGATCTTAAGTGCTCTCATCATATTGAATTTATTAATAACTCCTGTTAAGAATTATATGGTTATAATAGTCTTCAATTCACTGTAGTCTCTTTTTTATTCTATTTTTGAGAAGATAAATAGGGTTCTTATGATTTCTAAAGTGTATGTGTACAAATACATTTACATATAGACATACACAGCTAAAATGTTTTTCTCCCACTAGCCAGTGAAAAACAAAGTAAAAACCCAACAAAAACTCCATTTATATCACTGGTAATCTTAACTACTGAATCACTCAAATTCTAAGGTCCACTCACAATTGGTGTCAGATAAAGATAGCTAGGGTTGCACTGTACAGTTGTACAGATTGCACACTGTACATCTCTAGTGAGTGCAATGATACCCTGATCTGTATGACTGGTACTCTCTGGGGTTGTGTGGCACACAATCTATGTAGTTATATGCAATGACCTTGAAGTTAGTGCAGATAATTCTGCTTGTTCATCCATCACATATTTGTACATCCTTCTCTCTGGTGAGCTATGAAAAAGAAACATTTTGGGAGGAAAATGTTCTTTAAATCCATACACTTTTTAAATGCAGGAAATTCTGCAAACAAACAATAACAGATTTTCCCTGGCTGCCCTCCGTTACGATGGCAAGGTTTTCTTTCTTCCCATCTCCCCTTCCATCTACCCACTAGAAAGCAACAGAATACCTTGTGTGAGCAACTGCAGATTTCTGACTTCTTCCCGCACCTTCAGCTGGAGCACCTGTTGTAAGATGTGCTGCCGGAGGTTCTCCTGGGCAATCCCCATTCGCTCCAGCTTTTTGTCAGTAAGTCTCAGCAGGGCTCGCCCTGTGGGGTTTTAAGAAATAAAAGGAAAAGCAAATGAACAATTTTCTGGAGAAGGGCTTCTGTCTTGATCTTGGCTAACCCTGCCATAAGGGAAGATTCCATCTAAACACAAACATTTTGGAATAGAGGTTCCTCCGTCATCCTTGCTGACAGAAATGGATAATCTGTATGAAGAAAATAAGCACATTTAAAAGAGAACCCTGATTTGTATCTAATATTGGCAATCCTCAAGTGACTCACACATTAAGTCAGATAAAATAGCAAAAATTTTAACCTGGATATTTGGGTCACAGATTGCAGGTTTCCATAGAAACAATGTTCTTCATTGGGGGATGGGGTTTCAGGCTGGCCCGCTGGAGCCCAAGTCACTGAAAATCCAGCTGGAGAACTGGGTGTTCTAACTGTGGTTATACAGAAACTCGGGCAATGTTTAAGCCTGGGTATGACAACATTTCTGTGAAACATGCATTGTAAGTCAACTTTTAATCTGCAAGCATCTGACTCTCCTGCTGCATCCCTGGCATTGGGCTGGACTTCCATAACTAGCTGGTGGGAGCTAGTCCTCAATCCCAATCACTGGTCTAAGGTGAGGATTCCAGCAGGAATCAGGGCAAAGAGCAAAATAAGCATAGGCATCTAAAGAGTACAAGACTAACGAACCCCAGGGTGTGGGTGTCTGCAATGTGCAGACACCCCAGGCTCAGCCCCACGTGGCCTCCTTCCAACCCATTTCTTTCCCTGCAGACTTCCCTTCCTACTGTGATTTCTATCAAATTTCTAAATTCTCCCTGACTCTGGGCTTGCCCTAAGATAAGCATATTTCCATTTTGAAGGTTTACACAAGAAATAAAGAGAACAATCATGGTTAAATGCCCACAGTACTGCCTTTCCTCTCCCTGACGTCCCTAGTCATCACACCTGCAGATCTTTCTCATTCCCACAGAGGAAGAAGAGACAGAGTCAACTACGTGTGATAAATAAGTCTGTGAGTATATTATCATATATATTTCAAAAACTAAATGCTCTACCTCCTTGAAAAAATAATCAAGCAACAACAAGAAGGTAGGGTTGATGGGCATTTTCATCAAAGCCATACAAAAGCCTGTGAGGCCTGGGAATAGAGACAGACGAATGGAGGGAGCATTAGGAGCAGTCAGTGTTGTTTATGATTCTTGTTTCCTTCCCTTTAGCCCTTGCTTAGTGCATCAGTCATGATAAGTTAGGTTATGTGCTACTGTAATAAACTATGCCAAAATATCAGTGATGACAACAAAGTTCTCTTCGATCTTATTCTACATGTTGACTGCAAGTCTACCCATCTTGAACACTGCTGATCATTGTAGCAGAGGGAAAAAAGAAGGTACTAGAACATCTTCATACCATCAGTGAAATGTTCAGCTTAGGGCAATTCATAAATCATTGGCCAGAACTAATCACATGAACCTTTCCACCCACAAAAAGGCCATAAATTGTATTTCTGACATGTGCCCAGAAGCAGGGGTGGGGAACAGAAATATTTAATGGGCAGCACTGATGAGAACTGCAATAATACAGACATGGCCCTGGACCAAGCCTGGCAGGGAGTGAGTTTTGGGATGTACGCGTGTTTGTGGTGGTGGTGGGTGGTGGTCTGAAGCTTCTGTAGAAGCTGCACCTGCAAAGGGGAATCCTAGGTACCTGCAGGTCAGACTTGGCCACACCCAGGAAGGTCATGGCAGTTCCCCAAATCAGACTTGAGGAGTTCCCACTGCTTCTAACAGTAGGTGGATTAATGATCCCCTAAAGATGTCCATGTTCTCATCTCTGGAACCTGTGAGTTTGTTACCTTACATGATAAAAGGGACTTTGAAAATGTGATTAAGGTAAGGATCTGGGGGTGGGAGAGTATCCTATAGTCTTCAGATGAGTCCAATCTAATCACAGGAGTCCTCATAAAACAAAGAGGGAGAAGGGAGGGAGGGAGAGTGAGAGCAAGAAAGAGAGATGTGACAATGGAAGCAGAAGGCAGAGTGAAGTGGCCAAGAGGCAAGGAATTAAGGCAGCCTCTAAGAGGAGGAGAAAACAAGGGAATGAATTCCCTCCCATATACTCCAGAATGCAGCTCTAGCAACAGCTTGAATTTAGCTCCATAAGACCCATTTGGGACTTCTGATCTCCAGAGCTATAAGATAATAAATTTGTGTTGTGTTAAGCCACTAAGTTTGTGATCATTTGTTGCAGCAGTAATTGGCCTTGTGACTGGAATTTACATGTTTTTAAGAAGTCAAACAGATGGCTTTATAGATGTCCTTTCCCAATTTCTGGGTACTGGCATACTCGAGGGTAGAGAGCAGAGGAGAGCTAAACAACGAGGGGCCCCAGTTCCAGGCTTCCGGGCCAGCCCTGCCTTCCCACGTTCTGCTCACTGCCAGACCTTGTCCTGAAGTTTCACTTGGGGGAAAACAAAACAAAACAAGACAAAAGGAGAATGAGCCTTACATATCACTTATGTGTATAATTGGTCTCCAAATAACAGACATCTAGCTCTTTATACATGCCATAAACTCACAAATACTGCATAAAACACTCCTTGACGTTCAGAATATCTAAATCTCTACCAACATCAAAATGCAGATCACCCTCCCTTCTTTGTGTTCCCAATTATTTGGGCTGAGGTTTCACAAGCTGTGGCATTTCATAACAAGAACTGCTGAGGCGTTGGTAAGACACATAGCAGCTTCACTCTTGAGCAGTTGTCTGGTCTGTCATTAGAACACAGTGTTAACAAGTCAGAGAGAAGGTTTTATTACAGTGCATGTAGCTCAACTTTGGTCTGTTAGATGCTCCCCTATAAACCTCCGGTCTCAGCCTTTCCCTAAATGCACTGATTGGTCAAAGTAGGGATACAGAAGTCCAACTAGAATATTATTTTCTACTAATACTTTAGTGGGTTAATAGCATCAGGTTCGAATAATATGAGTTACAAAATTTCATCAGTTGTAAAATTCTGTGCATTTTTGCCTGTGTGATACAAACATTTCTATGAATAGTTCACATATTAAATGCCCAGCTGTTCAAATTATTTTATCCAACTCCAGAGACTACAGATGTTGTTATTATCTCCATTTTGTAGAAAGGGAAATTGAGAAGTTAGTGAATATTTAAACCATGACAGCTTTTCCTAATTCTTCCCCTATACCCTCAGTTGTGCTTTATCTTCCTTGGTTGGAAAATAAAAGGTTTAGACTTCAAGAAGATAGGTAAAAGGTAAAAAAAGATCATGATCTTAGTGCCAATACAGACCATATGATCTTCTTAATAGATGCAGAAAAAGCATTTGACAAAATTTAGCACACCTTTATGATAAGAACACTTAACAAAATAGGTATAGATGGAACTTATCTAAATATGAGAAAAGCCATATATAACAAACCACAGTCAACATCATATTGAATGGGGAAAAACTGAAAACCTTCCTGCTTACAACTGGAACCAGACAAAGTTGCCCTCTATCACCACTTCTATTCAACATAGTGCTGGAAGTCCTAGTCAGAGCAATCAGACAAAAGAAGGAAATTAAGTGCATCCAAATGGGGGCAGAAGAGGTCAAACTATTACTTTTTGCTGAAGATATGATATTATATCTAGTAAACCCCAAAGATTCTGCCATCAGACTACTGGAATTGATAAACAAATTCAGCAAAAGTCTCAGGTTACAAAATCAATGTACAGAAATCAGTAGCATTTCTTTTTGAACAAAATCTGATCACTGTCTTCCTTTGATGGTTTCAACAGTGCCATCCAAGTTGGTGATTATGGAAAATTTTTATAATAATAATTATTATTTTATAATAATTTTATAATAATCACTTCCAGGATCAAAAGGCTCATCCATCTCCTATCCCTTTATCTCCTCCTGACCAAAAATAAAAGAATGTCCAACAAGTGTGGTAGATGCAAGTATCATGGAATTGATAAGTAATCAGTCATTAATTTCATTTTTTTATGTAATTTATATTGTTAATTTTTATTGCTTATCATAAAAGATTAACTGTTCATTCAACACTTACTGAGCATTTACTATGTCCCTGTCACTTTGTTACTCCCTCTGGGTATAATGATGACCAGGGCAAGCAGGGTCCCTCTTGAAGCTTTCAGGCTGACAAGGAAGGCAGCTCATGATAAATGTCTACAGTTGTGTGATGAATGCTAAGAAGGGACAAATATGGGAACTCACAATGGGGTGACCTAGCTTAGTCTGGGCATCGGGAAGCTGTCATTGAGTAAAGCACATGTACCTTAGGACTCAGGGAGTAGGCAAGAGTTAGTCAAGAACTACTGATAAAATAGTTTTTAAAAAGTTCAGTAGCCACAGGGAGGAAGAGGGAGGTTGGAATCATACACAGACAACAAAGGAGCATGGTCACAGCTCTGTTGTTCCCTGCCTCTTCTAGGAGTGCCTTGGCCACCTTGCTCTGCAGACAGCTGCCTGCACAGAGAGGAAACAGGAGTCAAAATCAACTCCATCTCAAACAAGAAGAACCAGCTGAGTTTCCTGAGACCCTCAAACTGGTTACCAGTGCTGTTTAGGTGACCCAGGCTACTGGCCCCTTCACAGACTCTTGGGGTTGGAAGAAGCTAAAAGTCCTTCACTTTGATCTCCCCCCTCACCTTTTCTTCTTTCCTTTATCAAGTATTTCTCAAGCAGCATCACATGCCTGCCACCATCTGGGTGTGGGGGATGTGGAGGTGAATAGTGTCTGTGGCCTGCACAGAGCTCACCATTGAGTGGCAGAGGAAGGAGACATACAAATAAACCAAGATCTGGATCCAGATCTAGAGATACTGATGTGATGTCAGATAGTAATGAGTGCTCAAAAGAAAAAGCAGAGTGGGGAGGGGTTGCAGACAGGGACCCTTACTAAAAAGATGGCGCTATCATGGTTAGGGCAGTTAGGAAAGGCCTCTCTGAAGAGTGACACTGAAACCAGAAAGAAGCATGAGGGAATAGAAGTGTCAAG